AAACTGAACATGTGTGGCGTGACTCCACATGATATGTCTTACCAGGAGATAAAAGGGGGACACTGGAAGAAGGGGAGGATCAGAGAAGTCAGGATCAAACCGCATTTTTACACAATGCAGAGGATAAACCCCTTAGGTTCCACAGTGAGTATATCAAGCATGCTTTACTGCATATACAGACTGATTTTACTGTTTTGGGTTTAGCAACACTTAAGCAGTCCATACATGGCTCAAATTTCAGCTGATTTCTACTGAATTGGACAAAATTCAAGCTCTGGGTAACCCTGTCAGCACCAACAAGCTTAAGGCAACTGAAAACATTTTAAGCTCAAGTCAACAGCTAGCAGGGAAGATTCCTCTACCCACACTATTTAGTGTGCCTGGAGGAATTAAAGGAGAAATACAGCCAAAGCTCTTTTGGCTGCACTTTCCTGTGGATCATATGAGTGCAGTTCGTTCTGCACTCCTGTGAGCCATTTTCAATTGATAGTGGGCTGAAGCCTGCTGTAAGCTGACATCACTCAGCTGGTCCAGGCTGGGGAATGATCCTAACTTTAACTAGTTCCCACCCGGCCTGTTGTAAAATGATGGCCGGGCGAGCCTCTCTGCCATGTGGCGAGATTTGTAACTGGCTGTGTACCTTGGACACAACCGATGACAGATCTGTGTACCGGCCCCATTGCCACTACCATGTGACCTGCTGTGACCAATCACAGCAGGTCACATGACAGGTGTAAACAATGGATGGCTTCCTTTCATGCCATCCATTGTATACAAGTTGTCACAGTGATTACATGCACAGGCTGGGCCAATCACAGCCCATCTGTGTCATGTGATTAGCATGGCCAATCACAACAAAAAAACCTGAATCGATTTCATTCAGTTAAATGCTTGCTTATAGCTAAGAAATGCTTGGCTATAAGCAATCAAATTGTGTAAAAAAAATAAAATACTGATCATTTCCCCAAAGTAGTACAATGTTACTATGGTAACATTATACTACTTTGGTCATAGTGTAATATGAAAAAAAAAATCTTAAAAAAAAACAGAAAAAAAATGTTTTTTGTACTGTCACTAATCAGTGTCCCTGATCACCGCCACACCAGTTATATGATGACACTGTACTGCACTGGTCACAGTACTGTATGTAAAAAAAAAAAAAACAAAAAACTGTGAAAATTATTTTAAATTCTTCATTTTCCGAAAAATTATGAGAAAATTACAACTTCAAAAAATTCTCTATGCCTTTTATGAAATATGTCGGGCTGTCTGCTTTGCAAAAAAGGGTCATTTGTGGGATATCTGTACTGTTCTGACATTTTTGGGCCTCAAGAAATTAGATTGGCTGTCAGTACTTCAGGACTGATCAATATTCAGATATATCCCATAGTTTGTGAACTCTATAACTTTCCTCTAGACTAAATAATAAATACTGATTTGGGTTGTTTTTACCAAAGAAATGTAGCAGAATACATCTTGGCCTAAATTTATGAAGAACAATTACCGTATTTTTCGCTCCATAAGACGCACCTGACCATAAGGCGCACCTAGGTTTTAGAGGCGAAAACAACAAGAAAAAAAAATATTCTGAACCAATGGACTGCAGACTCAGTACAGGGGATGATGACACAGTACAGGAGATGACCTGCTGAGGACACAGTACAGGAGATGACCAGAGACTGAGGACACAGTGCAGGAGATGACCAGAGACTGCGGACACAGTGCAGGAGATGACCAGAGACTGCGGACACAGTGCAGGAGATGACCAGAGACTGCGGACACAGTGCAGGAGATGACCAGAGACTGCGGACACAGTGCAGGAGATGACCAGAGACTGCGGACACAGTGCAGGAGATGACCAGAGACTGCGGACACAGTGCAGGAGATGACCAGAGACTGCGGACACAGTGCAGGAGATGACCAGAGACTGCGGACACAGTGCAGGGGATGACCAGAGACTGCGGACACAGTGCAGGGGATGACCAGAGACTGCGGACACAGTGCAGGGGATGACCAGAGACTGCGGACTGCGGACACAGTGCAGGGGATGACCAGAGACTGCGGACACAGTGCAGGGGATGACCACAGTGCAGGGGGACCAGAGTGCAGTGGGGATGACCAGAGACTGCGGACACAGTGCAGGGGATGACCAGAGACTGCGGACAGTGCAGGGGATGACCAGAGACTGCGGACAGTGCAGGGGATGACCAGAGACTGCGGACAGTGCAGGGATGACCAGAGACTGCGGACAGTGCAGGGAATGACCAGAGACTGCGGACAGTGCAGGGAATGACCAGAGACTGCTGACCTTTGGGGAGGGAGGGGGAGCGGGTACCTGAATTTGACAAGTACCCGCTCCCACTTCCGTGGAGTTGTCCTTCCCTCTTCTTCCCATGCCGGCTTCTGTGACAGCCGGGTGCCCACTGCACATGCGCGAGAAGCGCTGCGCTTTGTGAAGGGCCCGGCGCCTTCTGGGACCTGTCGTGTGTCCCAGAAGACACCGGATCATTCACAAAGCGCAGCACATGCGCAGTGGGCACTGACATTTTCCCCCCTTTTTTGGGGGGAAAAAAGTGCGTCTTATGGAGCGAAAAATACGGTATTTATTTGCAAACTTTTATAACAGAGACAAAGAGAAACATGGGTTTTTTTTCAAAATTTTCAGTCTTTTTTTGGTAACTTAGCAAAAAATAAAAACCCCAGTGGTGATTAAATACCACCAAAAGAAAGCTCTAATTGTGTGAAAAAAATTATAAAATTTTAGTTTGGGTACAGTGTTGCATGTCTGTACAATTGTCATTCAAGTTGTGAGAGCGCTGAAACCCGAAAATTGACCTGGGCAGGAAGGGGGTAAAAGTGCCCGGTATTGAAATGGTTAAAGTCCGGATCCACCCCAGACACTGGAGCAGTACCTGGCTCAGCCTCTCAACGATCTGCTGAGAGCCTGAGCCAGCCGCTCCCTTCTCCTCAAGAGCCCAGCACTCCAGTGAGCACATGGGGGAGGGGGCAGAGCAGACAGCTCTCTGCTCACAGCGGTGGTGAGAACTCAACGGTCATGTGATTGCTGAGTTCTCACACTTGGAGCCGGCAGGGGACAGATACAGCATCGGAGCAATGCTTTATCCACCACGGTAAGTATAATTTTGGGGGGAAAAAACACAAAACTTTTCTTTTATGTGATTCATTCCCTGGCATGAACAAGAGAAAATGAAGCAAGCCTTAGTACCTGTTCAGATCTTACTGGTGCCTGTGGCATGTAGCGTATGTGCGCTGAATGGCTGAGTACACCAAGTGCTCAGCAAAGTGTTTGCTTTTCTGCATTTTGTAGATGAAATATAGGCTGGAGCATATAAAGACATCAACATTGCTTCCATTAGTGGGCCCCCAAATGCAAGAAAGTATTGATGCACACCAATGAAAATATTATTATTATATTATTATTAATATTTTACAGGATTTATATAGCACCAACCGGTTGCGCAGCACTTTTATGCAAACGTGTTCCAACTGTGTAGTAACAGTTACATTCCTGCAATGCCAGCTGGACTGTAACATATGAAACATATATCAAATAGCTTTGAATATACAGTAATCAAGAGGATATTAGTAGCTTTTCCTGGGTGCATGGGAATAGGGAAACCTAATATTGTAGTCAACATGACATAACGTTGCTTCCATGTGGACTGTACTATTTTGCAGGTCCGCCACGTGTGTAGGTAGGTTTCCTGCTCAGGGCAGCCACGGAAACAATTTTTTGTGCAAACTGGAATGAAACGGTTGGACTGGAAATAGGTACCATTGGTTCAGAACTTGAAGTTGGTATCCACAGCTAGGACAATCTAAGAGACTTTATGGTGTCCCAAATTTGAGTCTTTTTCTCTTGTTCCATTGTGAGATTGAGATCAGCTGCTCTGGTGAGAGGCCACTGGGAATTAACTGGAACAACAAAGAGATCTAGTTTGGGGAATGTGGGTTGTCTCAGTATTTTACATGCCAATGTGGTATTAACAATGTTCTTTATTTGTAATTATCCGAATAATTAAGATTTGGGAGTTTCCGTTATTGGCAGTTTGTAAGATAGCAATTTGACCCCTTCCATAGTAGTAATGTGGTGGAAGTGTGTAATTCTGAACCTGGTCCACTGTCTAAAAGAAGCTGGTTCCTCAAAGCCTGGCATAAAGGAGGGATTCCTAGAAAATGACATCAATGGTAGATGAGGCAACAATAAACCACCTGAGTATCTGAGGGTATCCCAAAGCCTTAAAGAGTGGACTTTGATCGGATTTGGTAGTGAAGCTCTGTTCTTCGGGAGGAGCCCTTGCAAGTTACGTGTTCCCAAGGGAATAGATGACGACATGGTATCTGGTTAGTGCAGCTAATTGAGAAGTCCGCTAATATTTTAGTAAGTGTGTAACACTCTCTAGGTTGGCATAGATTGTGATTTGAAAGTCTGTGTCTATGACATATCCAAGGGAAGTGCAGGATTTGCAGTGGCTGGACTTTGAAAAATGCACTGGGACCTTGACAAGTAATAACAGTTTTGGTTGATAGGTCATTTTAACCACCGCTATGTGGCCTGGCTAAGATAGGGAATAGGCATTATATACTGCTGGTGAACTTTTTTAGTTCATGGAATAGGAGCAGATTATGCTGATGTTCTTAATATGTATCTAAAACATAATGCAAAGACTATAGTTCCCTTTTTAATACTGCTAAAATTATTTTCAAACGGTTTTTGCAGTCACTTATCAATGAAACGAACTATGAATCACTCACTAACAATGTTCTTACCTTTCCCAAGAGTCTTTTTCATTCTGTTCAATACTGTTCTATGCAACTAATATTTTTATCTGTATATTTTGAAGATTTGTATGGTCTTTTTTATTGCTTGGATGTTAAAGTCAAAATATCGTGGCAAAATTTGTTCTTTCAATATTCTACTTATTGAATATGTACAAATCATGAGAGGTGACCTGAATTATGTTGTCTTCTAGGTTACAATGGCAGAGATTGAAGTGCAAACTGCAGAGCTCCCTTCCAACGTCACAGAGGGCAGTATCCAGAGTCAGCCAGCAGTACAACAAAAGCAGTTACCTCCCTTGTGTAGATTTTTTTCCCAGGGTCGTTACTGTCAGTTTGGTAGAAGATGCCGTTTTTTACATCAACGCCCAGAGGTCAAACGTTATGAAAAAAATAATAATCCAGGAGAAATGTCTGAAAATCCAGATGCAAGTGGTATAACAGAAATGTCTGTACCACATAACAAGAATGAGGTGAAGTCTGTCCCCTACCAAAGTTCCACTGATTCGGGAAACAGAATGCATAGAAATAGAAAACTGTGCCGTTATTTTGCCTCTGGTTACTGTTCTATGGAGACCAACTGCAGGTTCTGGCATCCAGAAAAAATTCCACCAATAAAGGATGATCGATATGTAATCAAGAAACCACTTCCGAAAGATAAGGTGGAGCGGCCAATAACCGTTCCAGCGGTCATTCGAGCCTCAAATGTAACTCTGGAAGTGGCTGCTCAGCTACGAAAGACAGAGATTTGCCAGCTGTTAAAGAGATTTCCAAAAGATAAAGTGATTATTCAAGAAAGAGAAGATGGAAAAGTTACATATTATAGAATAACAATTGAGCCTACAGATCCAGATTGGGTATGATATCTAGCCTGTGTAATAATTGATTACTTTTTTTATTTTTTTTATAAAGTTGCAACTGGAAAAAGAAATCTGTTTTCTGTAAATAGAAAATCACATTAAGTCCTCATGCACACTGGAAATTTTATAAACATAGGTAGCGTTACCTGTGAAAATCATGTTAAAAAAGCAAGTTTTTTTGCATTAGCGTTAGCCTAATTTTTCTGCGTTTTTTAGCTTTTTACACAAAAGAAAATTAATAAAATTTTTGCTAAAAGAAAAAAAAAAGCCCCAAAAACATCAGCATTTTTCTGCATTTACCGTATTTTCCGACGTATAAGACGACTGGGCGTATAAGACGACCCCCTACTTTTCCTGTTAAAATATAGGGTTTGAGCTATACTCGCCGTATAAGACTACCCCTCTTCCAACGCACACCAAATAAAAAAACATCAGATTTGATTTCAATATGGTATGCTATTTCAGTATGGTATTCCAATGATGGGGTGCTATTCCTCCCACTGACACCAATGATGGGGCAGGATTCCTCCCACTGATACCAATGATGAGGCACTACTCCTCCCACTGACACCAATGATGGGGCACTATTTCATCCACTGACACCAATGATGGGGCACTATTCCTCCCACTGATACCAATGATGGGACACTATTCCTCCCACTGACACCAATGATGGTGCCCCATCATTAGTGTCAGTGTGTGAGGAATAGTGTCCCATCATTAGTGTCAGTGGGAAGAATCGTGCCCCATCATTGGTGTCAGTGGGAAGAATCGTGCCCCATCATTGGTGTCAGTGGGAGGAATAGTGTCCCATCATTGGTGTCAGTGGGAGGAATAGTGCTCCATCATTGGTGTCAGTGGGAGGAATAGCGCCCCATCATTGGTGTCAGTGGGAGGAATAGCGCCCCATCATTGGTATCAGTGGCAGGAATTGCGCCCCATCATTGTTGTCAGTGGGAAGAATTGCACCCCATCATTGGTGTCAGTGGGAGGAATAGCGCCCCATCATTGGTGTCAGTGGGAGGAATAGCGCCCCATCATTGGTGTCAGTGGGAGCAATAGCGCCCCATCATTGGTGTCAGTGGGAGCAATAGCGCCCCATCATTGGTGTCAGTGGGAGGAATAGCGCCCCATCATTGGTATCAGTGGAAGGAATAGCGCCCCATCATTGGTGTCAGTGGGAGGAATAGCGCCCCATCATTTGTATCAGTGGGGGGAATAGTGCTCCATCATTGGTATCAGAGGGAGGAATAGTGCCCCATCATTGGTATCAGTGGAAGGAATAGTGCCCGATCATTGGTATCAGTGGGAGGAATAGTGCCCCATCATCGGTATCAGTGGGGGAAGGATTAGTGCCCCATCATTGGTATCAGTGGGGAGAATAGTGCCCCATCATTGGTGTCAGTGGGAGGAATAGTGCCCCATCATTGGTGTCAGTGGGGAAAATAGTGCCCCATCTTTGGTGTCAGTGGGGAGGAGGAATAGTGCCCCATCGTTGGTGTCAGTGGGGGAGGAACAGTGCCCCATCGTTGGTGTCAGTGGGGAGGAGGAATAGTGCCCCATCGTTGGTGTCAGCGGGGAGGAGGAATAGTGCCCCATCGTTGGTGTCAGTGGGGGAGAAACAGTGCCTCATTGTTGGTGTCAGTGGGGGAGAGGAGCGGCTGCTCCTTCTTTCAGTTCGGCTGCTCGATTTTTGCGGGGCCGCTCGGCTCCGCCTCCTCGCTGGTGATTGGTCACCTGTGTGCCTTTCCAGTGCTGGCGCCCAATCACCGGTGAGGAGGCGGAGCCGAGCGGCCGCGCGACCATCGAGCTGCCGAACTGAAAGAAGGAGCAGCCGCGCTTCCTGGACTGGACGGTCGTGGGACCGGGACCGGAGCCAGGTAAGGTACAGCAGCCCCTCTGCCCACCCCCTGTACTTAGTGTCCATTGGAGGAGGAGGAGGGGGGGGCGGCGCCGCGCCGCCCCTCGAATAAGTGCCGCCCTGACACCGGCTCGCCGTATACCGGCGTATAAGACGACCCCCGACTTTTCAGAAGATTTTCATGGGTTGAAAAGTCGTCTTATACGCCGGAAAATACAGTACCAGTGTTAGAGCGGTTTTACAGCTAAAAAAACTCCTCTAAAAACCTACTAGTTCTGGGGGGGTTTTCCAGCCAAAAAAATGCTGATTAACCACTTGCCCTCCTGAGGATTTACCCCCCTTAATGACCAGGCCTCTTTTTGCTACTCGGCGCTGCACTAATTCAACTGATAATTGCGCGGTCATGCAATGCTGCACCCAAACGAAATTTACGTCCTTTTTTTCACACAAATAGAGCTTTCTTTCGGTGGTATTTGATCACCTGTGCGCTTTTTATTTTTCACGTTATAAACAAAAAAAGACCAAAAATTTTGAAGAAAAACGATATTTTTTTACTTTCAGCTATAAAAAATATATAGTAAACTCAGTTAGTTATAAATTTAGGCCAAAATGTATTCTGCTACATGTTTGTGGTAAAAAAATCCCAATAAGTGTATATTGATTGCTTTGTGTGAAAGTTATAGCGTCTACAAACTATGGTATAGATACTGCAATTTACGCCATTTTTTTGCTATACAGCGCTGCTCTAGTTTAACGGACAATTGCGCAGTCATGCAATACGGTATATAAATGAAATTTACATCCTTTTTTTTTTCCCACAAATTGAGCATTCTTTCGGTGGTATTTGATCGCCTGTGCGTTTTTTTATTTTTTGCGCTATAAAAAAAAAGGCTAACAATTTTGAGGAAAAAAAACAATATTTTGGACTTTTTGCTGTAAAACCTGTCCAGTAAAAAAAAAATGTAAAAATCAAATTTAGTCATAAATTTCTGCCAAAATGCATTCTGCGACATGTCTTTGCTAAAAAAAAAACCAATACGTGTAAATTAATTGGTTTACGTGAAAGTTATAGTGTTTACAAATGGCGGGAAAGATACTCGGATTTTTTTTTTTTTTTTTTATACTAATAATGGCGGCGATCAGCGACTTATGGCGGCGATCAGTGACTTATGGCGGCAATCAGCGACTTATGGCAGGACTGCGGGACTGCGGCGGACATTCTGACACTGGGGAGGAGTTCACTTGGGGTCACTGACATCCCCAGTGACACCAATACAGTGATCAGTGCAAAAAAAAAAACACTGACACTGTACTAATGGCACTGGGGAGCAAGGGTTAACTTTATAATTCAGTGAAAGGGTTAACTATGTGAGGGGATTGTTTTACTAGGGGGGCGGGGGTGTGTTCTGCATGGAGACACACTGATCCGGACAGATAAACTCTTCTGTCCCGATCAGCCTGTCAGGAGCTGTCAGGAAACTGACAGAGAGCAGAGCTACTGCAGCCCTGCTCTCTGTCAGTGATTGCCGCTAATCGCCAGGACACAGCTGGTAACGATCGGCTGTGACCCGGCGACTGACATCCGCGGCCATGATCGGCTGGACAGGTAGGGTGGCGGCGCACCTCGCGCACACCCCCTACCTGTTTTGAAAACACACGTTTCAAAATGTGGTTTTGCCCAGCCGTGCCGCCCTGCTGCCGTATTTCTACAGTGGCTGGGTGGCATGTGGTTAAAGCCTATGTGTGCATGAACACAGGATAACATGCTGGGGAGTTTACTGGCTATAGAAAAAACACCAAAAGCAACAGCAACTGTAAAAACATCCAGTGTGCATGAGGACTAAGTTGTATTCCATAAGACTCACCAAATTTTCAAAAAAAGGTTTTTGTTATGCCAGGAAAAGCACACCACTCCGTATTCTAATCCTCCTATTTTCCCAACGAGATCTCCTTTTACCTGAATGTGTTGTATGCCATGTAATCTCTCTCTCTCTCTCTCTCTCTATATATATAATCTTCCAATGTGCTGATCCAAATCTCCAAAAAGAAAAAAAAAACTGAGTATATCTTATACTCCAATCCACAACATGTGTGTCCGTCCTGTGTCCACCACCGATGTGCAAAGCCACAACAATGTGCTCGATCCCTTCCCCTTCAGTCATGCACCTTACCCTGCATGTCTTGTAAATAGCCTTTTCACAATCAAATATCAACATACCCAAACACCTCCTCGCTTCTTCACAAATTCTCAGTGACCGTGCAAGATAAACATACTCTCATCGTGCAACATTGCTTAAAATCCAGTTTAATATTATAAAAGATGTGCTTACATGTGTTTGGAATACAAGGAGCTTGATTCTAACAGTGCTCAAAATGGGCACCGCGGCACTTCCAGTTGTGTCTGACAGCACATCTGACTGACGCGCTTCGTCATTGAATTGACTTTCTCATAGGCACGGTTCTACAAATGATTGACCCACTAGTTGAATTAAATAAAAAGGCTCATCTATGGTCCATCTTACTGCCACTGTCTCATGCAAAAGACTTCCTTGTCCATGGCAATGTAGCAGAAGTATCGATGGAGAGGCAGACAGTTGGACCATGAATGGCACCAGCCTGTGCCATGGAAGATAATGGGCCAACTTTTAGATCTAATTTAAATGTTAGAAATTTAAGGAAAAGGCTCTGAGAGTTCATGTTCCACCTGTACTCATTATCCTATTAGTATTTATAACTTTCGTAGACTCATCTGTTTATTTATCTTTCCCTTAGCCTTTTGACCTGAAAGAGATGGAGATCTTGCTTGAGTTTCCAGAGGATTATCCCTTGGAGGTATTTGTTGCACAGTTTCCATTATATATGCTCCTTATCACCAGCTGCTAACCCTTTAACCTGATCAGAATGTCACTTTCAAGAGGTTAACATAATTGTGATTTGGGGTAAATGTAGTTTTAAGAGTTCTTTAATCCACTTTGCTCAGACAGTTGTATCCACATCAAGTACTCCACTTATTACCCATTATAAGGGGTTAAAGTATAGAAATGTATGGTTATGATTCCTCCTATCTCAGAAACAAGTCAGTCTCATCTATGTCCCCCTTTCATCTCATGCACACAGTGAGCTGGGATCATTCTAACAACTTCATTCAGTGCAATTAATTCCACCTCCCTTCCTTCAATGCTTTTTTTTTTTTTTTTACAATATTACGTTCAGGAGATTAAAGCTGTCCCCACACTGTCTCCCAAAGAGGATTTAATAAGATCTTTGTTGGCTTTGAGATGACGTTTGATGTATTTTCATCATTTTGTGCGTCTCACCAGCACTCTTTGTTGAATTATAAAAATGTAAAGATTGACAGCCGATTGCTTTGTTTCTTATCATCACCTTCTTACTACCCTTCTTACTTCAGATTCCCAGTTAAAAGCCTTGGTTTCTATCCTAACAGCAGTAATTTATTAGGTTTAAATTGTAAGTTTTTGTTAGATGGTGATAGATGTTAATTTGTGCCTCATTTATGGACCCTTGTGTCTTTGAAAATAGAGGCATTGCTCATGGAAACCAATACACTTTTCAGCTATCATTTTTCTACTTCAGGTTGGATTATGAAAACTGTCCTAATTTGTGGATGTTTTATTATTATACCAGATTTTTTTTAAATGAATTTCTTTTTACCACAGAAGACAGAACCCAAAGGTGGACCTTAAAGTAGAAATATGAGCAAAACTTTTTAATTTTGGATAGAGCAAGGGAGGGTTATAACCCTTGTTAGATTTTTTTTTTTTTTTTTTTTGCCATCTGTGTCCCATTGTGATTTCATTTCACTTCCTGTCCCATAGGCAAACTGCAAGTGAGAGGAAATCCCTGCAAATTACATTGAAACAGTAGTCAGAAAGTTAAGTTCTGCTATATCACTTTATGCTGACCCGTTTTGCAGGTATAGTTCTATAAAACATTATGAATAGGTGCCTATACTGTTTAAAATGCAGTAATACACTGCCTCACCCTGCTCTGCACATGCTCAGTTGTTCTCTATTTGTAGGTACTGCCAGATTTGTAGAGAGGCTGATCTGCTGACAGCCTTAAAGCAGAATTAAACCCTCCTGTCCTTTACAGCAAATGAAGCCGTTTCTGATTGATCTGCAACTGCCATGGTGCTGTATATATGATTACTTATCATATGAGCCATTTGATGGTTTGACAGTTTGGTTGAGGACACAAGTAAATGTGACAGTTAGCAATCCCGGCATTCCAGGAATGTAACTGTTTTTTTGAAACCGTTAAATTGATGGGTTTAGTTCTGCTTTTTGATTTACTGCTGCTCAGGGGCTCTGGGCTTCAGCAAAATGACAGCCTCAAGCAAGAAGAAACCGGAACAATACTGGAGGCAATTTACAGCACATACTAATTTTGGTAGCATAATTATTAATGTGGAATGTGTGTTCCTTGCTAAAGAAAGTTATTTTTTATCAAGTTGTTATGGGTAAAGTTACGCTTTTAAGGGAATTCCTCCAGGATCCCAGGTCACCAGAAAAAGTGTTCCCATTGGAAGATATCCCCTTTATTACTTTTCTGAAGCATAACCCAAAATTGAGATTTTATTTTACTTTCACTTTCAAGGATAACGGTAAACAGGACAAATAGAGAGGGTGAATCTCCTTAATGGGGGCACAGACAGCAGTAAAGACTGACAGGTGTTGTAATCTCTCTCCACTCTGTCCAAAACTAAAAAAAATTTTGCCTTTTAGTCATACTTTAAAGGAGAAATCAAAACAATGGAGTGAGTGGAGGCAGGGCCAGTGCTTCCACTAGACAATCTAGGCAGCCACCTAGGGCATACTACCACCTAGGGCCTCCTGGGTGCAGTACAGGCCGGCACTCTTTATGTGGATTATGGACCTCTTGTATTAATTCTTCATTTCTCTGCAGAGTCCCCCTCTCCTCATACACAGGGAATTATGGTATCTTTACTCTGCACAATTGTCTCACAACCTGTCCACACACGTGGTCATTTGGTGCCTGGGGCCGGTATAGCAGCTGAGCTGCCGTTCCTTCCAGTGTTCCTCTCAGACTCCGTCTCTTACTGTAATCTGACTGGTGGCTGCTGATCACTCTGGAGTTTTGTAACTTTTTTTCTCCTTTTTTTTTTTTTGTTTCTCTGGTTAATACAGTTAATTTATATTTGGTCAATATATATTTTGTTGTTAATATTTGGTGCTGGTGGCATCTTATGGCAGTTATTTTGGCAAAGTAAAAGGAATTCAGTTTCATGCTTTGTTGATTTAATATTTTCTGTTTTTAAGAATTTTTTTCTTTTTTTTGGGGGGGAGGTGGCAAGTAGCTGGTCTTGCCTAGGGTGCAAAATAGACTAGCATTGGCACTGAGTGGAGGACAGCTCCCTCTGTTGACATAGGTGATATCCTAAAGATATCTTTGGGTTGAATCTTCAGTGTAAGCAAAGGCTGCTGAGGGGCTACAGGACCTAATACATAATGCAGGCATCTGAATCGTGAAAGGTACCTCCGTTCTCCTATATCTGAGAAAACCCTAAAATCTCTTGCCTAGTGAAGCAAACGTTTCAGGATCATCAGTGACATTGAGTCAGTGGAGTTGAATTTTATTTTATATTTCATATGCATGCAGTATGTATGGTTTTCGCAGGAAACCTTTTAAATGGAGTTGAGTTCGTGACCCCACTGGTACTCACTTCCCTGCATTCAGCTTTTTGCCTCAGCACTAGGTAAATACAAGCTTTGATACAAACCCACATAGAAAATTTAGCTGTTTGCTCCATTCAGAAAGGTGTCTATTTTTTGTAAGCACATTTTTTCCAGCAATTTATTTATAAGAAAGTACATGCATATTTATTTGAATTTCAGGTTTTTACAATACAAATCCCTGAGGATCAAGTTTTACCCTCAGTTATGGGCAGGTAAGGTAATAATTCATCGGTTAATAGTATGAAATTGTTGTGAAAGATTTAGGCAAATGAGAATAGAGATGATTCTGAAATAGAAAAAAAAAAACTTTAAAGATATGTTTACTATAAAAAAAGTACACTTTTTTTTTCAGGTAAAAAAATGTGTTTTGGTTTTTATTTAGGAGCCTGCAGAGCATTGCACTTACTATCAAATCTCCGGTGCAATGTCAGGCTCTTGCAGACTCTTAGTACAGCTGTATGTGCATTCCCATATGAGCAGACAGTTACTAAGGTCCAGGAAGAATCAATTAACTACAAGAGCGCCCATTAGCGCCCCCACAGTTCAGTGAGAACTACAAACCACCTGCTGTGGTAGAAAACGGTACTTGTAATTCACTCATTCACAGATAGCTGTAAATGAATGACATGGCTGTGTGGGCAGAGCCCTGCACAGCTGAGCTACGGTCCCCCTGCCCACTGTCACATTTTCTGATGGGGGAGGAAGAAGGAATTGCTGGCATGTTATATCCCGAATATAAGTGTAACATATTTCCAATGGTGGAATTATCCTTTAAGCATTAATACTGCAGCTTTAAAGAGCCATTATGAAACATCGATCGTAATGCACAGAGCAAATCCATTGTTTTTCACTTTTTGCCATATGCAAATCCTTTAACTGCATGCTGTTAACTGCAGTTTTTTTTAGTTGAACTTGTCAGCAACATTAAACTTAAAACTGAAATTTCTGCCTAAGATCAGGTGTCACAAGATATCTAGGATTACATTTAATAGCCAGAAAATTCCCTTATGTGCGCCTCTGTAATTATTTCATTTTTGTTACTTGTACTTTGCCCTTCCTAGCTTCAGGGCTAAGCTCACCAGCTGCTTGTGCAATGAAACTACCTCAGAGTCAGAAATTACAAACACTTTGTGGTACATTTTTTTTAGGCTTCTTTCACAAGTTTGCATTAGATCGGCTTTAGCATTAATACACGTTCAAGAAACATTTCACATACGTTAAGGTGCATTATTAAAGCTGCCCAAACTTCACCTTTGGTTTTCAAGCTTTTTTTTTTCAAAAGGGGAAGTGGACACTGATCATTTCAGAAACGAATGCTGAACATTCAAAAAACATTTTAGGCATTCAGTGGAGGTGATGGCTTTTAGCAAAGCATAGAGAATGTGGCATGCCTTAAAATTCTTGATGCAACACAAAACGACGCTAACACACTTTTGTGTACTGTTTGACTTCCGGTGTTTTAATTACCCAGTATATTTGCAGGTGGTACAGGAGCATTAAAAAAAAAAAAATCTAAAGTGCTTCCTTTGCTGCAACTATAGACTCATGTAAAAGAGGCCCTAGGCAAGATTTTTAGGTATATCTAATCAATTTTTTTTATAAGTTCATCTTGTAAAGTGCAATTTTCCCAAATGAAATAGTCTAATATATACCCTTCTTGCCTGTTAGTTAGCAGTAATGTGACCATTGTGCTTCTGTCTTCCAGTCCTCAGGCCAGGGCCTTGGGCAAGATGAAACCACAATGGATCAAAAGTGCTAGTGACATCAATGCTGGCTTCCTGACGGTCTTGTCGGTTCTTTGGGCACATATAGTAGTGGTTTAATGGGTTCCCAGAAGAACCTTGCAGGCAACCTATTCTTTTGTCAAAATAGTAAATGGCGAGTGCTATATGTATCAAGAAGCAGTTAGCACAAGAGATAGTGACAATAAACCTCAAAGTGACATGTGCATAAAGTGCAGCGCTAAAAAATTATAATGCATCAAAATACATTATAAAGCAATAAATAAGTGTATACACATTAGTGCAAAACAAATGCAAACATATAAACCGGTGAAATGACGAATAAATGTAGTCCATCCAATGTGACACAACAGCAAAGTGTCCAATTCCACACAGTGCTTGAGGATCCAGTGAACACTCTGCCACCACTATGCACTCACCAGAATGCTACTGGTATAGTAGCAGTAATCGACGGTCAATCAAATTCACTATTCAGAGTCCTTAGCCCAAAAGATTTCCTAGGGAAGAAGCTCACCACACAGAGCCCAGAAAGTGATTCATAGTGTAGTATTTATTAAAAGGCAAATAAACATATTCCACATGGATGAAATGTAAGCATGAATACAATCACGTACCAAAATGGCCGCTGTTCTGGATCACGGACACGGCGGCTTGACGTCAGCACGAAGGCTCCACCCAACACATTTCGTGCACATGCACGTCCTTAGGGGTGAGCCCATTGACGAGGTCAGAAGCAGACACCATTTATATAGCCTGCGAGGCGCACATAAACTTATTGGGCGCCATTTTCTTGTGGTCCATAACACTGGACATTCACAGTTTACATGCAAACTATACCGCAATGAAGGTGCCATTTTCCCAAGGTCCAAATCATTGGACATACACTGCTTACATTGAAACTGAACAGCAGTGAAAGGAAAGGTGCAAAAGGAAATAAAAGTCAGTCTTTAAAGGCCGTAAATGCATCGGCACAAAAAATCAAATAATAGTAAACTGCTCAAGCATTAATATGTGGGAATCAATGAGGATATAATTATGGAACACTTGAGTGATAACGGCCGCCATTTTCTTGAGGTCCAGAAAATAAAACAATACAACAATGATGATGTTAACATTAATGATAATGTGTACAAACATCAATGAATATCTAAATAATAATTAAAATATTCACATAATTACATGGAAGTAAAAGTCAAATAAAAAGCAGGCCATTAAAATTTATATGCACTATTGCCATCAATAAGGAGTAAAAAATGTGAATCACATATCAACTATTATCTATGAAGCAACTGATATCAACATCTACATTCAAGCCCTTAGGTGTTAATGTACACATTTCATATATCCACTTGGTTTCAAGCTGAGACACCGCTCTGCATTTTTTAAATCCCCACCAGTGGGGATGTAAGATGTCAGTGCCTGTAAATCTAATGTCCTGTGGATTTCTTCGATGGCAATCCCTGAAGTGTTTGGAAAAGGTGTGTTCCTTATATCCTTTCCTGATGTTGTATAGATGTTCTCTCATCCTGTCTTTCATACGTCTGGTTGTCCTCCCTATGTACTGTTTGTTGCAGGAACATTCTAATAAATATACCACATAGCGACTATTACAGGCGATGAAAGAATTGATGGTATAACTTTTCTTGGTGACACTTGAGGTAAAAGAGATGACTCTAGTACATCTATTCCCCCCTAGTTGGCAAATCATGCAAAGATGCAAGGGAAGAAACTTTTAAGATCTGAGATAAATTAAATCTCCTTAGGGGGATTGACCATATTAGGCGCAATCTTATCCGTCTGAGTGGGAGCCCTCTGGAAAATAACCTCAGGTTTCTCTGGTAAGAAATCCTTAAGAATGGGGTCATTTTGCAGGATACTCCAATGTTTGGTGATAATATTTCTAATATGCAAATGCTGGGCAGAAAAGTTAGTGATAAATGAACATATTATTCGAGAGTTAGTATTAACCTTCAGGGTAGTAAGTAAAAACTCCCTTTCTAACCCAGCCACCTGTTTAATGCTATCATCCAAAGTGATGGCTGAGTATCCTTTTTCAAGGAATCTGCCCCTCAAGATCTCAGCTTGCGAATAAAAATCTCCTAGATTTTGGCAGTTACTCCTAATTCTAATAAATTGGCCCTTCTGGATATTTTTCAGCCAGAGAGGATGATGGCAACTGTGTAGGAATGAAACCATTTCTGTCCGTAGGTTTAAAATAAGATTTAGTCACAATTTTGGTGCCATCATTAATAAACGTTAAATCGAGAAAATTAATCTCTTTCTGGCTGTATGAATGGGTTAGATTGATTTTTAAATTGGTATTATTCAGGGTACCAATGAAATTGTTAAATGACTCCTCATCCCCTTGCCATAAGAATATGACATCATCGATGTATCGACGATAAAATATTAGTTCAGTCCAATCTCTTGAAATAAATTAAGTCCTCCTTCCTTCGGGCCATGAAAAGGTTGGCCAGACTTGGAGCAATTTTAGCTCCCATGGCAACACCTCTGATTTTTAGATAAAACTTTTTGTAAAACAAAAAGTAATTGTGAGACAGTGAAATCTAATAGTTTGAGTATGAAAGACTTCTGTATGTCATTAATCTCATCTGTTTCAGTGAGATAATAATATTCTGCTGCCTCCATCCCATCACTATGTCTGATGTTACTATACAAAGATGCAACATCAGCTGTTACCAAATATGTAGAGTTCACTGGATCTTCAAGCACTGTGTGGAATTGGACACTTTGATGTTGTGTCTTGCAGTATCACTGATGCACCGTTTTCACACTGGATGGGCAACATTTATTCATCATTTCACTGACTTATATGTTTGCATTTGTTTTTCACTAATATGTATACACTTATTTATTGCTTTATAACCTATTCTTTTGCATGGCATTTTGTAGTCTTAATACGGGAATTTGTATGACATGCTGACAACACTACCACAACATAAGAAGGCTATGACTAGCATTGTCAGCAAGATCAAGAGGTATTTACAACGTTACAGCCCTGGTTAAAAGCTTTGAGAATGACACAAATATTAATTTTCACAAAGTCTGCTGCTTCAGTGTTTTTAGATCTTTGTCAGATGTTACTATGGTATACTGAAATATTACAACCATTTCACAAGTGTCAAAGGCTTTTATTGACAGTTACATTAATTTTATGCAAAGAGTCAATATTTTGCAGTGTTGACCCTTCTTTTTAAAGACCGTTTGCCATGGCAATCCACTTCTGGGACACATCCTGACTGATGGCAGCCCATTCTTGCATAATCAATGCTTGTAGTTTGTCAGAATTTGTGGGGGGGGGGGGGGGGGGGGGGGGTTCTGTCCATGCACCACTTGAGGATTGACCACAAGTTCTCAATTAAAGTCTGGGGAGTTTTCTGGTCATGGACCCAAAATTTCAATCTATTGTTCCCAAAGTCACTTAGTTATCACTTTTGCCTTATGACAGGGTGCTCTGTCATACTGGAAAAGGCATTGTTCTTCACCAAACTGTTCTTTGATGGTTGGGAGAAGTTGCTCTCGGAGGATGTTTTTGTACCATTCTTCATTCATGGCTGTGTTCTTAGGCAAAATTGTGAGTAAGCCCACTCCCTTGGCTGAGAAGCAACCCCACATATGAATGGTCTGAGGATGCTTTACTGTTGGCATGACACAGGACTGGTGGTAGCGCTCACCTTTTCTTCTCCGGACAAGGTTTTTTCCAATGCCCCAAACAATCGGAAAAGGGATTCATCAGAGAAAATGACTGTACCCCAGTCCTCAGCAGTCCAATCCCTGTACCTTTTTGCATAATATCAGTCTTTCCCTGATGTTTTTTCTGGAGAGAAGTGGCTTCTTTGCTGCCCTTGTTGACACCAGGCCATCCTTCAAAAGTCTTCACCTCACTGTGCATGTAGATGCACTTGCGTGCCTGCTGCCATTACTGAGCAAGCTCTGCACTGGTGGTGCCCCGATCCAGCAGCTGAATCAACTTTAGGAGACAATCCTGGTGCTTGCTGGACTTTCTTTAGCGTTCTGAAGCCTTCTTCACAACAATTGAACCTCTCTCCTTGAACTCCTTGAAGTTTTTGATGAACAGATAAATGGTTGATTTAGATCTTAGTAGCAGCAATATTTTCACCTGTGAATCCCTTTTTGTGAAAAGCAATGATGACTGCACGTGTTTCCTTGCAGGTAAATTAATAGTTGTGTCATTCTCAAAACTTTTGGCCAGGACTATGATAGCAGTAGTTTAAAAAACATGGCAAACTAAGGCTGGCCATACATTATACAATTTTCCTATTCAATTTCCTTTAGATTTACCTTCAACTACGTAGTACAAGAGCATGAAAAGAGCATGAAAAATACACTGGAACGCTTAAAAAGCGTGCTTGCAGAAATGCATCCAGAAAGCATCTAGATTGCGTTTCTATAGTGTGAAACGGCCCTTAAACATTATTTCACGTTTTTGTTTTTTTGTTTTTTTTTGTTGTCTTATAACTGGCAGAGTTGATTAAAGGCATTGGTAGTTTCGGTACACATGTTTTTGTCACAGATCGTTACTTTTCATTTTCATTAAACATTTGGCGCTGATGTTATTACCATTTGTGTAATTTCAGCATACAACTTTTTAACTTACCCTTAGCCTAACCATTAAAACTAACCAGTAACCTCTGTCCTAAAGTTCAGGGGAACGCATGCTATCACTGTAATAAATATCATTGTGGAAATAAAAATGTGGCACTCCAAAGAAAATCTATACTATACCAGTTATGATCATCTTGGCACCACTATACAATGTGTCTATTTTTTATTGTAAATAATCTGCACATGTGTGTCAACACCCAAAACAGCTGATCCATGGTCTGAATGCCTGCATTATACATTTCAAATAGGCTCAGAGCCAGATGTAATTCCCACATAGAAATTCCAAAATACTACAAAAGATGCATTACTGAAAGTTTGTACAGACACCTGGCCTCTTATTTTTTTTTGAGCATGCATGATGTTCCATGTTCATTTCTTGAATCTTGTGTTATGTAGCTTAAAAAAGCCCATTAAGAGGCATTTATTATATATTTATAGTACAATTTAAAAAAAAAAATTATTTATGTGAGTTACAGCATTGCCTTCAGGGATGTTCAATTCCTATCGCCTGGGCATATATGCACGCTGGGCAAAAAGTGTTTGGTTTTTTTTACATTTAGACAACAATTGTCTCTCTTGTAAAAGCAATCCGAGTGGCTGACTAACCACTGGATCGCTTTTACAAGGCTGTCCCGTCGCCCGATCAACCAGCTGGCTGGTCATAGAGGCGGACAAAGACCGGAAATGCTCTTTTCACCTCTATGCTATAGGAATCAGGAAGTGATTACCATACATCACTTTTGGTTTCCCTGGATGTAAACGGCGCCATTTTTAACAATGGAAAGCATTTTATCACACACCGATCTTGGTCATATTGACCCCTGACCCCCTGCCACATGCCTATTGCTGTCACAAGGGATGTTTAAATTCCTTGTGACAGCAATGAAAGTGATTAAAAAAAAAAAAAAAATTAAAGCAACAGTGTAAAAATAAATTAAAAAATATATATATATTTAAAGCACCTCCAGTGCAGTGCATGCATCGGTCATGCACGCAAACGGCGATCGTCCCACACATGTGAGGTATTACTGCAAACATCATATCATGGGCAGTAATTCTAGCACCAGACTTCCTGTGTAAATCTAAAGTGATAACCTGTACAGACTTTTTTAAAGCTTCGCCGATAGTAAAATTTATATCAGTTATTGCTGTGGCATGGGCATGCGCAATTTTAAAGCATGACGTGTTTGGTATCTATTTACAGTACTCAACAAAATATCTTTTATAGTTTACCAAAAATTGAGTTATGTATTATCTTTTTTGCATTAAAATTCAAAAAAGCGTATTTTGAATTGAACCGTGTGACATAAAAAAAAAACACCCACCAATTTATTCTCTAGGGCCTCTGCTTTAAAAAAAATATATACAGTGAGGAACAGAAGTATTTGAACACCCTGCGATTTTGCAAGTTCTCCCACTTAGAAATCATGGAGGGGTCTGAAATTCACATTGTTGGTGCATTCCCACTCTGAGAGACAGAATAAAAAAAAAAAAAAAAAAAATCAGGAAATCACATTGTATGCTTTTTAAAGAATTTATTTGTCTTGCACTGCTGAACATAAATATTTGAACACCTAAGAAACAGCAAGAATTGTGGCTCTCAAAGACCTGTTACTGTGCCTTTAAAAAGTCCACCTCTACTCCACTCATTAATCTAACTTAGTAGCACCTTTCTGAGCTCTTTAAAGACACCTGTCCACCCCACAGTCAGTCAGACGCCAACTACTACCATGGGCAAGACCAAAGAGCTGTCAAAAGACACCAGAAACAAAATTTTTGACTTCCACAAGGCTGGAAAGGGCTACGGGGCAATTGCCAAGCAGCTTGGTGAAAATAGATCAACTGTTGGAGCAATTGTTAGAAAATGGAAGAGGCTAAAGACGACTGTCAGTCTCCCTCGGACTGGGGCTCCATGCAAGATCTCACCTCGTGGGGTATCACTGATGATAAGAAAGGTGAGGAATCAGCCCAGAAACTACAATGGAGGAGCTGGTCAATGACATGAAGAGAGCTGGGACCACAGTTTCAAAGGTCACTGTCCTACCTACGCCGTCATGGTTTCAAATCATGCATTGCACGGATGGTTCCCCTGCTCAAGTCATCACATGTCCAGGCCCGTCTGAAGTTTGCCAATGACCATCTGGATGATCCAGAGGAGGCATGGGAGAAAGTCATGTGGTCAGATGAGACCAAAGTAGAACTTTTTGGTCTAAACTTCACTCGTTGTGTTTGGAGGAAAAAGGATGAGTTGCATCCCAAGAATACCATCCCTACTGTGAAGCATTGGGGTGGTAACATCATGCTTTGGGGGTTCTTTTCTGTGAAGGGGACAGGACGACTGCACTGTATTAAGGAGAGGATGAATGGGGCCAATTATTGTGAGATTTGGAGCAACAACCTCCCTCCCTCAGTCAGAACATTGAAGATGGGTCGTGGCTGGGTCTTCCAACATGACAACGACCCGAAGCACACAGCCAGGATAACCAAGGAGTGGCTCCGTAAAAAGCATATCAAGGTTCTGGAGTGGCCTAGCCAGTCTCCAGACCTAAATTCAATAGAACATCTTTGGAGGGAGCTGAAACTACGTGTTGCTCAGCGCAGGGGCAGACTGACCATTTGGAAATTCAGGCACTGCCCGGGGTCAGTAGGGGGCCCCATGAGATGCCCCTGGTACCTTTTTCATAGGCTTTTATGAGTTTGGTCAAGAACACGGGGGCCCCATGAGTTGTCAGTCCGCCCCTGGCTCAGCGACAGCCCCGAAACCTGACAGATCTAGAGGAGATCTGTGTGGAGGAGTGGGCCAAAATCCCTGTTGCAGTGTGCGCAAACCTGGTCAAGAACTACAGGAAACGTTTGACCTCTGTAATTGCAAACAAAGGCTTCTGTACCAAATATTAACACTGATTTTCTCGGGTGTTCAAATACTTATGTTCAGCAGTGCAAGACAAATAAATTCTTTAAAAATCATACAATGTGATTTCCTGAATTTTTTTTTAAATTCTGTCTCTGAATGGGAATGCACCTACAATGTGAATTTCAGACCCCTCCATGATTTCTAAGTGGGAGAACTTGCAAAATCGCAGGGTGTTCAAATACTTCTGTTCCTCACTGTAATTTTGGGGGGTTGTACAAGAAATTTGAAGAAAAAATAAATAAATAAAAATGTAACTCACCATAAAGCTCCTTTTTGTTTTTAAAAGCCCCAGACATTCCTAAAATCACCTAATAAAAAACAACCATTCATATTTTTCACCTGGCAAAAATATATATTTTTTATTTATTAGGACAAGTACATTGTCATGAGGGACAAGTAGATTGGGACCCCGATTTAGTCCCTTGGATAAGTAGATTTTTGTTTAAAATTCCACACCCATGGCCTGCACAAAACCTAAAAACAAGGAATTATGACTTTCCATATAAGTAAATGGGTAGAGTAATCAAAAGTTAATTCTATATTAAAGAGAATAAAGTGCATAGCATAACGTCAATAAGAAGGTCCTCACCGAACCAGCTGCTCCTATCAGGAGTAAAACATAACACACCCATTATTACCGCTTAGCTGCATTACTGCATTGTCTATTTCAAGTGGAATCCATAACATAAAGCACTTTTAGAATATGGTAGATATGTTTTTTCATGTCTAACGTAATAGTACTTGATCAGTATTTTAATGATTTGATGTTATTGTTCTGTGCTACAGACATGTGTGTGAAGAATCTAAGGCATGGCTGCAAGGAAAGCATGCAACCAACCAGCTGATTGGAAAGGTGGAGCTTTTATTCCGTCCTTTTCTACACTGGCTTGATCGCAACCTGGAACGACTGTTTACAGAAGGAGCTCGGCTGGTAAAACAATATGATTTTCTCAAAACAGGTTAATTCAGTCAAGTGATTTTTGAATATCAGTTGTATATATTTTTTTACTTGTCCATATTTAGTTAAAGAGAGACATCGATGTAGAAAAGGCTGGTCTGGAGTTTGTACCATACCAACAACTACAAGCAGCCATCACTGATAAACCAAGTGAGGATGGAAACAATGATAGTGGTTTGCAAGAAACAAAGCTGGAGGAAAGTCCGAAGGAAGATTTGGAGGATGATGATTCGGATAGCTGGACTAGCTGTGATGATGATGATGATGATGATGATGATGATGATGATCCAGAGCCTGGCGCAATGGCTGATGGTATGAAGAGTGTGGAAGGAGGAGGAGGAGGCCCAGGTCCAAGAAAGGGGACAGAACTCCAATTCATGGGGCTGAGACTAGGAGAAGGAGTGGGAACTTTAACAGCATATCGCATAGTGGTGTCCCTGCTCTGCAGCAGGTAAGAAATGAATAGCTAGCCTATAAAAAGTTTGCTACTCCAAGTATAAAATTATGATACCCAGTAGATGACACCGGAGCTAAATGACACCTCTCTGGCCTATGCTTGCAGTCATCTTGAGCAGCTCTTTCTGTCTTAGATCAACTTGAACCTCAATGCAAAGTATTAGATTATAATTTAGGAATGAGTATTGCTCTTGCTACAATATTATTTTAATATAAGATAATCCCTCCACTGGCTTCTGCTCACCCAACAAATAAAATTCAAAATACTAACAACAACTTACAAATCTATCTACAGCCCACAGTTACATCACTAACCTGACTCTCTTCGGTCCTCCCAAGACCACCTGCTCTCTAACTCCCTTATCGCTTCCTCCCATGCTCGCTTCTGGGACTTCTCCTGAGCTTCTCCCATCCTATGGAACTCCTTACTCTTATCTATCGGACTATCTCCTATTCTACCCATCTTTAGACGATTCCTGAAACTCCTTCTCTTTAAAGAAGCCTATTCTGCTTCTAACTAATACACTGGGTTTTTACTTTCTCCTTCAGCTCAGTCCCTACAGTTATTACCTTTTTTATCACTAGACTGACCCACCCTCTTAGATTTTAAGCTCTAACGAGCAGAGCCCTCTGATTCTTTTTGTACTAAATTGTATTGTAACCTTAATGTCTGTCTTCACTGTGTAGTGTGCTGCGCAAACTGTTGGGGCTATACAAATCCTGTATAATAATAAGAAGATATTAGCACCTCTCTTGGCATTATGGTTAGCTTTTTGACACCTTTATCCAAAATTGTACTTTCCTAGAATGTGCCTTTGAAGTAGTTTGAGCCACATACAATATTTCAAAGATAATTTAGGTTGAAAGCAGCTAGTGTGGTTACTTTCCTTTTTTTTTTACATTTTGACTATCTGTTTAGGTGTAATGTTACAGCAGACCTGTCGCTGACTGGAAAGCAGCCATGTGCAGCACAATGTGAGAAATGTAACAGTCACATTACTGGAACTTTTCATCCAAGTATCCTGCATCAGTACTCATCTGTTCTGGGGTATGTGGACATTCAAGGAGCAGCTGCCAAGGATCTTGTATTGCCAGAGTGTACTTTCATGGTTGGCTGTTTAAATTGTTCTCATGAAGAGCCAGTACAGGTACCAGTAAATATTTGTTGCTACCGAAATCTATAGCTATAATATGTAGCGCTGTCCTAATATGCCATATTTTAAAAAATACTATTTTCACCACAGATGTCTCTTCCCCTTGAAGTTTGCCATCTAAAGTTTCTAATGTATCAATGCAAAAGCTAGTTAGGCTATCAGTTGTTTTGGGGGTTGTGGAAGGGTAATGCAACACCTGGATAAAACTGAAAAAATAAACACGTAGATGTCACACAGATAGTGCCCTGGTTGGGTATAAATTTTGGAACTCAGTACTGTAAAGCACTTTTGAAGACCTCTAGGTCACCACATTGCCAAGCTACATGTTAATCAGACATATGGTAAAGGTTTTTATCCATTTTACTCCTAGAGTACCTCTACCATGTCTTCAGAGTTAAAATATAAGGAGACAGTTTTCTGCAGAATGTAGATTTTCTTGCTCATATATTCAGCTCTTGAGGTCTCTGATCCTCACAGACTCTCCAATAAGATGTCATTATAAATCATGCAACCACAATACCATTGTATTTTTACTTTCACACAACTCTGGACCACCCAACTCAGAGCGTTATAGTGACTTACAGGACAACGGCCTAAACACACTCTTTGTTTGCTCTGAAGGGCCACCTGGAGCAAAGAGAAATGCTTGGTACGTTTTGGGATTGGGTCAAGTGACACTTTCCTTCCTAGAACATTGGACTGCTCAGGTACATAGCACTGTGGTAGGTAGAGACTACATGACCCTATGTAAACATCAACCAGAGTGACTTGGATTTTACAGAGGGCATCTTCTTCACTCTCCCACTGGTAATTGGAGTAGCAGGGAAGTGAAGGGAAGGTGGGTATATGGAGCTAAGGGGGGCAGCATATAAGTGAACCTACAGCATATAGACAAAGTTCAAGTTCACTTTTAGGCAATTTTACAAACCAATTGTCAAGTTTGAACGTTTCAACCTAAAAACTGCTAAGCCAGCTGAATGATCGTCTGCAAATATGGTTTTCTCCCTTCTAAATGGAAGGGGTTTTTTTTTTCTTCATTTTTAATTATTGCGACATATATATACATTAATCAGCTTGCTATGTTGTAATGTGTTCTTGAACAGTCTTGATCTGTATGTATAAAAAGCAGTAGAATTACCGTAAAAAGAATAAATATATATTAGACTCCACGCTATGGTTTCAAATCTCTGCGTACAGTAGCTGCCTCTATCGTGCTTATATTCTGATCAACAGGATATAACCCAAAGTACTAAAAACAACATTGGTGTGGTGCATAATATGCAACAACCTATAAAAAAATAAATAAAATGTGTATAATGGGGGTTTTTTTCCTTACCAATGTGACTGCATCAATCTATAGTGCCATTATTACGAATATACACTGTGCATTAATACATACTATAAAGACAATAAAATGTCTCTCATAAACTAAAAAATAAAGTCTCTATATAAAGTGTAAAATGAGGTCCAATTTCCATAAAGTGGTTAAAAAAAGTGACTGGTGCTCAAAATTTCTTATTCTTCAGTGCGTGGAAACCACTCTGTGCTCCCCTCTTGTCCACCACATTCACCAGAGCTCGATGACCCCCTATGCAACATAAATGAGTCTCAAGCCATTTTTAGATATATATACTGTATATACTCTCCTCAAACTGCCCTGGTGTCCCAGCAGTGTAGAAGATCCTCTTCACAGGGTCCTTTCCGGTTAGCGTGCATGGGAGGGAAGAAAGAACCAGGAGGCAGCCTCCAATAGTGTAGCTCCATTTAATTAAAACCATAAAAACATTTAAAATCCACTTATTCAATAATAATGTTTGCACTGCATACAAGCTATAGCTTATGTGTTACTTCCTATAGCCAGCTACATTCCACTGACTGGAAATACGAAAGCGGAAGTGACTTAACAAACTTCTTACCTTACACAGTAAGTGCCACACTAATCTTGTTTTTAGTACCCTGAAAAGAATATGGGAAAAGATCAGAAACGTATGATGTCAGAAATGAGTAGATATTTTTATTCTCAAGTATGTATTTGTATTGTCTTTCCATTGCTTTATAGGCTTAAGGTTTCTTTCACACGGAGTGAACCCCTCACAGATCAGCAGGGGATCTGTGAGCACATCCCCTGCTGATTGGAGCGGAATAAGATAGATGTCAGTGTTTTGACATCCATGCTCATTCAGTTTCTCCCCAGTGGTTACGGGTAGAATCCTGTCATTTCTATGGGTGGCTTGTTCAATGAACTTCACTGTCCATTTATATGAGGCTACCCCCATCCAGTCCAGAAAAACGAACAAGGACACAGTCCTTTTTCTGTTTTTTTTTCCTGACCTGAATGGACCCAGAAGTAGGCGGGTGAAAACGAACACAAGTCCATTTACATCCATCTGTCCATATGGTTCCATGGACCTTCCAGTCAAGTCCATCTGAAAAAACTGACAGGTGAACCTGATCGGAATGCCATGTGAAAGGGGCCTAACACATTTCTAGCCAGGTATTTAAAAATATATGTAAACCCTTACCTTGTAAAATAACCCTTTCAGTTTAAAATAGAAATGAAAGGCAAAGCATTTCTGTATAAGTATAATAAAATTATGAATACTTTTTTTTTCTAAGTGATCACATAACCTTTGTTCTCAGCTGCATAAGGGGCTAAGAGAGTTGGAGAAACAGCATCACACTGAATGGCTGGGGGGGGGGGGGGGGGGAGGGTATTGGTGGTAGTGGGGTGGGGGGGGGTGTTGTTAGCACAAGTCTTGTCCATTGGAGGACAGGCAGACTATGCCCCCAGCACAGCCTGAAAACTGACCACACTGTGAAGGATGTGCTTATATGTCTAGCGTGGTCAGTTTGAAATAGGCAAGCAGGGAGACTGGTTAGGGCCACCAGATATTTCACACAAAGGAAAAAATACAAAGAACAGGATACTTTTTAACACAAGTAAATTGATCAACAGACACATATCAGGAATATGAAATGCTGGGGGGTAACCTCTTCTTTAATGACATTGTATATTTGCCCTTGCTATATAAGCTGAAACAATCCACATTTATTTTACAGAATCTCTCTTTTGGTTTAACTAAAGACCTGAATTGTCTGAACTGCCACAGCAAACTCAGCATTTCTAGTGAAGCTGCTAGATTCCAAAAGGTTCAACGGTACCCAATTAAAGCCATTGGTATGTTACCATCTTTTGTAGTACATCTGTCATTAGAAGAAGTATGGGAGCTCTTATTGCTGCTCTCCCTGTAAAGATGCTTATTGCCTGCCGGTGTCTGGCTTCAATACTTCACAGGCCCAGTGTAAGAATGCTGAAACTATACTTGCTCCAGGTCAGAAATCATTGAAGCCAAAGTATCAGAATGACAACCATGGCCGGATCTAGGGGGGTGCTGGGGTGGGGTGCTGGGGTGGGCTACCCCCCCCCCCAGATTTCCATTGTGTCCCCCCAGGCCAGCCACCCGATGGATGTTTTGCCTGGCTACTTTCCTCTAGCCCCGCACTCAGCACAAGCCTACAAAGCCCGAAAAGAAGGAGGTGGCAGAGAGGAGAGAGTCTGTAGCAGGTGCTGTGCCTTCCCCTCCTATCAGAACAGTGTTCCTCTGTGTGACACATAACACAGGATCGCTCTTCTGTCGGCCTGCACACGTGGTTTGATTCTCGCTCCCTATGTCCTCCAAGGTAATAATCAAAACAATGTGTGCAGCCCGACAGAAGAGCGATCCTGTGTTATCTGTCACACGGAGGAACGCTGTTCTGATAGGAGGGAAAAGCACAACCCACACCTGCTCCTAGATCTGTAGCAGTAGGAAGGGGGAGTTGGAGGAGATTTGGGAATGTGTGCTAGGTGGAGGAATGGGGGAGGGATGATAAGTGCTAGGAGGGGGGTTTGGGGAGAGTTGAGCCAGGAGGGGGGATTAGTGGGAATTGTTGTGCTGGGAGGTTGTGGTAAGATGGGGGTGGGGGGGTTGTGCTAGGATGGGAGATTTGGGTAGGAAAGGAGGATTTGTCCTGGGAAAGGTAATTTGTAGGGGGTTGTGCTAGGAGGAGGGATTGGGGGGAATTTGGGCTAAAAGGGGGGATTGGGAGGAATGTATGTGCTGGGTGGTTTGTACTAAGGGGTATTGGGGGAGACCTATGCTAGGAGAGGGGACTGGGGGGATTTGGGTAGGGAGGGAGGATTTGTCCTGGGAAGGGTAATTCGGAGGGGTTGTGCTAGGGGGAGGGACTGGGGAGAATTTGTTCTAGGATGGGGGATTGGGGGGAAATTTTTGTGCTGGGAGGTTTTGGTAGGAAGGGGGGATTGGCGGGGTATTTTTGCTAGGAGGGGGGATTTGACTGTGAGAGGTCATTTTTAGGGGGTTGTGCTAGGTGGGGGGACTGGGGGGGGGGGGTGATTTGTGCAAGAAGAGTGGGGGGGGGATTTGGGCTAAAAGGAGGGATGGGGGGATGATATGTGCTAGGAGGGGGTTTGGGGGAATTGAGCCAGAAGGAATTGGGAGGAATTTTTGCGCAGAGGGGTTTGTACTAAGTGGGTATTGGGGGGATTTGTGCTAGAGGGAGGGATTGGGGAGAATTTGTTCTGGGAGGGGGGATTGGAGGGGATAGGATTTGTGGGGGAATTGGGGGGGGAATTTTATGCCAGGAGGGGGTGGGGGGAATTTGGGTTAATAGGCGTGACTGGGGGGGGGATTGCGCACTTTGAGGGGATTTATGATAAGAGGGGGGAATTTGCGGAAGATAATTTGTGCTAGAATGGGAAATTTGAGAAGAATGAAAAGGTGTGCTAGGAGGGGTGATTTTTGGTGGGTGATGGAGATTTGTGCTAGGAGGGGGAAATTGGTGTGGGATTTGAGCTAGAAGGCAGGATTGGAGGGCAAATATTTTTACTGGGAGGGTGGATTTGAACGTGGGAGGAGGGGAAATTTTGCATTTTTTTTGGTGAAAGAATTTTAGCTTGCAGATGGAATTTATGCTTAGGGGGAGAGTCTACTAATTAGTGCTGTCCTTTTTTTTTTTTTTGATGTGGAGGAATTTATGCTGAGACAGGATGTTTACACTTCAGAGGCGCAGTTTGTCATCTTCACTCTAGACGCTATATGACCTTGTCCCAGCATTGTCTGTTCTACACACAGGGCACTCAACAGATCTCCTCTGCCCCACACAGTACATAGCTTAGATTGGATCCCTTACAGACACAGCCTTATTCTGCATGGTGTATAGCTGGCTACTATGTTGCAGTTCTGACCTGTGAGATTCCCAGATCTGAATGGCAGCACATCTGCAGTAGCCAGCTTACATGTAGAGCAACAGTTCTTTTTTTCAGATCCTCAGAGAGTTCTTTGCCCTGAGGTGCCATATTGAACTTCCAGTGCCCATTATGAGGAATGAGAGTGATAACACCAAATTTAACTCGCCTGCTCCCCATTCATATTGAGACCTTGTAACACTAACGAGTCACATGACACCGGGGAGGGAGAATGGCTAATTTGGCCCAATTTGGACATTTTCACTTAGGGGTGTGTTCACTTTTGTTGCCAGCGGTTTAGACATTAATGGCTGTGTGTTGAGTTATTTTGAGGGGACAGCAAATTTACACTGTTATACAAGCTGTACACTCACTACGTCACATTGTAGTGTCATTTCCTCAGTGTCGTCACATGAAAAGATAGAATAAAATAGTTACAAAAATGTGAGGGGGTGTACTCCTGTGAGATACTGTATGACAATACAGCGTATTGTACATATACTTGCCAGTTTTTGTTAAGAGTTTAAAATGTTTGTGTATATAGTTTGCAAATATATATGTAGACTTGGCAGTCATATTTGCATGATACATGCGCAATTCATGCTTCCTGCTTAGATATGAGAAATAATGTGTTTGCTCTGCTGTACCATTATCTTAGCACAGTTCAGTCAATGTTTTAGACCAATAATACAAACTTTTTTTGGTCTATGATATAGTGAATTTTATCTCAGCTTTATCAGCAAACGTACATGAAGAATCTCATAAGTGAAATTTTTTTAGATGATATCCAATTTTGAAAATATCATTTGTTACTTTCAAATAAATTTTACAATAAATGAATATGCACTCAGCAAAAAATTCTGTAGTTTCCCATCAAGTTCAAAAGATAATACATCACTTTGGCACTTAAAATAAAATCTTTACATGTTTATTGTGTGTATTAGTTTATTATAAATTACATGCAGTCTTACTGAGCTGTATACCAGTGTTGGCTGAATGGAACCCAAAGATGTAATTGAGGTGTCTGCTGCTATAAAATTTCACCGCTATTTTGAAATGTTTTTGTTTGAGGATGTTTTGTATCAGTACAAAAGCTTTATATCATTTTCATCATATTTGAAGTAGACGTTTTTCACCAACTATACTATTGTTATAGGCAATAAGGAGCAGCACGGCTATGGTAGGAAGAAAGTAAGAGATCCAGCAATACAATCGGGAAAACCTCTTCCAGATCATGGAATCTGTAGACATTACAGGAAGAGTTGCCGATGGTTCAGGTGAGTGTTAGGCTCCATGTACACTGGACGTTTTAATAACGCTGGTAAGGTTAGCTGTGTAAAGTGCGTTAAAAACTTGAGTTTTTCAGCGCTTTTGCATTAGTGTTTAGCTGCGTTTTTTTCGCTTTTGGGGGGGTGTTAAAAAAAAAAAAAGTTCAAATACGCTGGTTTGCTGTGATTTACCGCGTTTTTCAGCACTAGAGCTTTTTTGCAGCTCAAAAACTCCTCTAGAAACCCACTAGTCCTGGGTTTTTTTTTTGGTCAGCTAAAAAACGTTGATTACAGTCTATGTGTGCATGAACACATAGGATAACATGCTGGGGGGTTTACTGGCTGTGTAAAAAAAACGTCAAAAGCCAAAAACAGCCGCTGTAAAAACATCCAGTGTGCATGAGGACTCAAACAGACTTAGAGTTTTCTGGGAAGTTATAACGGCATGAAGAAAAGCATTGTACATGTTGACTGTAGTACAGCAGAGGAGCTGCTGTTAATTGTACTCATAATAACATTGTTATTCTTTCATTGTAGCCAAATACCTAAATGTTTATTATAGACCACACATCAGGGTTGATTTACTAAAACTGGAGCATGCAAATCTGATGAGCTCTGCTTAAAAACCAATACACTTCCAGATTTTTTTTTTTTTCTTTCTCAAAGCTTAACTGAACAAGCTAAAGTTAGAAGCTGATTGACTACCATGCACAAGCCTCACCAGACTTTGTACTCTCCAGTTTTAGTAAATCAACCCCACTGTTTTCTTCCTAGCTGCCTGTAGAACAGATATTCTACAAATGATCCAGTCATAAGAGAAATAAACAGGCTACTATTGCATAACTTAGTGAATAAAGGGGGGAGAGAACAATGTTCTTGGACAACTTGCCAGCCAGCTTGCTAACAACCGAATTAACCTGTCTAACAGTATGCGTTTATAACAGGGGTTTAGTTAGCACACATTTGCAAATACATACGTAAGCCACAGAGCCACGACACGGCACCCTGGTAATCTGTGGTCCTAACTCTAAAATTTGTGAGTCCCCATAGTAGAGGCACATGCATTTAATGGATAGATCATGGGCAGGTGGACCTGAGGGAGCCACCCCTCTTAAAGGCAAAGGAGTGCACTGGACCCCAGCATGTAGCACAATGGCAACCAGGGCCCTAGTACACCCACGTACCAAAAACTCAAACATGCATAAAAGTGGCCACCCGCCCAAGTCTATAACTGGCTTATGAAGCAAGGACACGTAAACAGGCATCACATAGTGAATAAAGGGGAGAGAACAATGTTCTTGGACAACTTGCCAGCCAGCTTGCTAACAACCGAATTAACCTGTCTAAGTTGTCCAAGAACATTGTTCTCTCCCCTTTATTCACTATGTGATGCCTGTTTATGTGTCCTTGCTTCATAAGCCAGTTATAGACTTGGGCGGGTGGCCACTTTTATGCATACTATTGCATAACTCCATGCACATGCACGTTGCTTGGCTGTTAAAACTTTGGCTGACCCTCAGTGTTTAATACATTTATAGTCACTGGTCAGTAACACGCACACAAGTCTGAGCTGGAGAAAAGTCAGAAGTTGTTATCTGCATGCTTGTTCTCTAACTCCAAAGTATTGAAGCACAATGTGAGCATGCCAGCTTGGCAACTAACATTTTGGAAGCTGTCAACAGTGGCAGTTTCCATGTTTCTCTCATAAGGTTTCTGTTAAAGGAAACTTGTTGCAAGACAGGAGTCCACCACTGTTGACCTTTTGTGAAAATGCTAGTCTCCTGGCTGCCATAATGACCTAGTGTCCTTGTTGCTTTCTAAGCCACTGACATGCAACAAGTTTACAGGAGTTAGAACGTCTGATTTTTCAGACTTGTGTACTTATTCTCGGTCAAGGACTTTAAAAGTATTGAAAGCAGAGACAGCCAAGCAAATAACATTTCTGAACGAAATTTAGCAACAGCAGTCCTCATATTTCCCTTGGTGTGGGTTTCCTTCCTTACTTTGTAAACCTGATTGCAAAGATCCCAATTTGTGTTTGTTAGTTCTCCTGCAAGGGGGAATACAATAAAAAGCAGAGATCGGTGTAAGTGGACATACCCCAAGGAGCAGTGTAGCTTTCTACTGCAGTCTTTGCTGTGTTTTGGGGGGAATGCCCTTCATTTTCATTGTGTTTTTTCTATCCATTTAGAAGTGCTTCATGTATCTTAAGTGAAGTCAGGACATCTGTAGCAGTTCTGATCCCTCTGGTTTTCACTTATAATGGCAGGTTTCCGTGCTGTGGGAAAGCCTATCCATGTGATGCCTGTCATGATGAAGTTGAAGACCATATGATGGAGCTAGCAACTCGCATGTTATGTGGTTTTTGTGCAAAAGAGCAGGTGAGATTATTCCTTTCAGTAGTGAGTCCACATCCAAATTTCATCCAGCAGATGGCAGCCAAGCTACTTACTTTGCAGAGTGTGAGTCTCTGTAATCTGCTTGCGCAGTTTAACTCCATGCGTAACCCGTTTGCTTGGCTGAGGTCTGAAATTTAGAAACACATGAGCAGCTGATCTTCTTAAAGCTTTTATGTCTTGGTTTATATCTCTACTGATTTTTGATTCATCTAGAGTTGTTCCAGTTCCCAAGACAATTCCAAATTCTCAATTCTTTGTGTCATTTTGGTGAAGCTCTAATATTTCTTTAAACTTTCATTTTTTTGTCCTGTTTAGACCTACATTAAGATCAGTATTCACCAATCTATTTCGTAAAGCACACCCAGCAGGTCATGTTTAGAATATTTTCCCCATTTTGCACAGGTGATATAGGCTTTGTTCACATGGGCAAGGAGGCCTATAATGTAAGCTCCAAGGAGCAGGGCCCTCCTATCCCTCTTGTATTGATCTGTATTGTTGCTGTATTGTCTCCCGTTATCTTGTAAAGCACTGAGCAAACTGTGGCGCTATATAAATCCTGTGTAATAATAATGCATGAATGGGCTGATTTTTTTCCAGCATTTCTAACTTCCACATGCTACATGCCGGCAGCTTATTGAAGACTGCTAAGATGCAGCAGCTACACAGATATAGCCACTTCAGATATATTAATAGTAAAAAGATCCGGTCCGAGCATGTAGGCCCTTTACAAAATAATTTAGAGTGGGTGACTGGAGACTAAGAGAAGGCAAATTTATTAAATACTTTCTTCAGCTCTGTGTATACAAAGGAGCATGGGGGAGCTCTTGTCCATAATGGGTATGGCATTGACACAGCCCAAGATGATCCACATTGGCTCACAACTGATATGATCCAAAAATATTTAGACAGAATACAGGTGAATAAAGCATCTGGACCAGATGGCATACACCCACGGGTCCTTAAAGAATTGAGCTCTGTCATTTAAATCCATTGTTTCTAATTTTTAGGGACTCTTTAATGACCGGCATAGTACCACTGGATTGACATAAGCCTGATGTGGTGCCTATATTTATTTAAAAAGGGATCAAAATCTTTACCAAGTAATTATAGACCTCATAGTTTAACATCTATAGTTGGGAAGATACTGGAGAGTTTAATAAAAGACCACAAAGATGATTTTTTGCTGAAAAAAAATATTTTAAGCATCAGACAGCATAGATTCATAAAATAAAAAAGTTGTCAAACCAATCTGATTTCTTTTTATGAGGAGGTGAGCAAAACCTTGGACAGAGGGGTGGCAGTGGACATGGTATACTTGGATTTTGCAAAAGCATTTGACACAGTTCCCCACACATGGATCATGTGTAAGGTAAAGTGTACAGGCTTGGAAAATCTTGATAAGAGGCATGGAGGAACTCAGCTATGAGGAAAGATTAGAGGAACTGAATTTATTCTCTCTTGAGAAGAGGAGATTAAGGGGGGATATGATCAACATGTATAAATACATCAGTGGTTCATATAGTGGTTCATATATAGAGCTATTCACCTTGAGGTCATGACAGAGGACAAGGGAGCACTCTTTACATCTGGAGGAAAAGAGATTTAATATCCAAACATGGAAAGGTTTCTTCACAGTAAGAGTTGTGAAAATAGACTCCCTTAAGAGTTGGTTCTGGCCAGCTCAGTAGATTGCTTTAAAAAAGGTCTGGATTCTTTCCTAGATACACATAATATATATGGATACTAACATTTAAAGAGAAAAGTCGATCCAGGGAATATCTGATTGCCTCTCGGGGGATCAGGAAGGAATTTTTTTCCTCTGCAGGAGCAAATTGGATCTTGCTTTTCTGAGTATTTGTTTGCCTTCCTCTGGATCAACTGTGGGTGTAGGATTATAACTTTTTTTTTTTTTTTTTTGAACCGGATGGACTTTTGTCTTTTTTCAGCCAGACTAACTATGTAACTTGTCCTAATGTGACAGGCATGTGGGTGCTGGTGAGCGATTCCAAACTCAGCCAGTTTATTATGAACAACAGTAAGATGAACACCATTGCCCTTGCATCTTGTTTACATTTTATTCCTGTCTGTGCTACAAATCATAGATATACTGTCATATGTACAGCATCCTCTCTTGGCTGTTGAAGTGGATAGCAGACTGAGCTGATCTATATTATGGTTTACTCTGTGATCGGCATTGGACCATTTATGTGCATTTCTACTTTTTTCAGTGTGTGCTGTCTCTTATTTAATTCATTTTCTGTTACTGTGGTTTCACTTCTTTTTTTCCCGTGTAGTCATATAATAATGTGAAGCCCTGCATATCATGCGGAAACATGATGAATAAGAACATCCAATCCATACATTGGGAGGGTGGCAAAGGTTGCAGAAACAAGATTAAGATGTCTAGGTATGTATTTAGAGAATCACTGTGCACTTCACTCATTCATGACAATCAGGTGACGTATATCTGAATCGTACTGTGAGAGCATAGGCTGGATAGACCCTGGTTATAGGATGCTACCTTCATGTGATTGGACACTGGCAAACTCTTGGACAAGCTCCCCCTGGGCATCCACCTATACCCCACACTGTGAGACTTCAGTTTTTTTGCTAGTGTTCTGTAGGTGATAGAACTCTTCTCCCATATGAAGAAGTTTCTATGCTTAAGTCGTTCTTATTTACTTCAAATTCTTCAATGAGCTCTTCAATTAACCTCTTTACTGCTTTATACTGCAACAGTAAAAGCAGTGCATCCAGTTTGGGCACCAATTCACAAAAATAACATTGGGGAACTGGAGAAAGTGCAAAGAACTCTTCAATTAGCACTTAGTGCAGCATGTGTAGTTAGCCACAGGGTGCTATACAGGTCCAGGGCTGTTGTCTATTCCTATGATTCCCTCTGGGGGGTATGCCTACAAGCAACTCCCGGACCCATACAGGGACCAGCAAGATGGAAAGGTAAGACAGGTTCTTCCCATTACTGTATCCCCATTGCAAGTACTAAACCTAATATCTCCGCTTCTTGAAGCATTCTTATTAGTCTGTCCTGAATAGCTTTCATTTTTACAATTATTACTATCAGGAAACCAAATGTTGTATTTAAATGTATTTACCTAAACTTTCAAACTTGGTGGTAAAACTTTCACCATTTAGAGCTTAGTCTCAGGTTGATGACTGGGTGTTACATCTCACTACAGGTTACACTATTGGCAACAACCTCTGTCCAGGGCCCTCATAAGGTACTTAGACACTTCCTTTTGCCACAATGCCTTCGCTACAGGACAGTGGATATGACTCATCCACTACCCTTACATGCTCAGTCTACCAGATGGGTGGAAATTCTGCCATCAGACATCTGTTTCCCAGCTTCGTAAGGCTGTCAACTGGTCTTCAGTTCACAAATTTTGCAGATTCTAACAAGTGGGTGTCCAGGCCCCTGAAGGTGCAGGTTTCAGCCATGAGGCTCTTTCAGCACCACTCTGAGTTGGGTCTTTGACCCTTTACTGCTTTGTTGGGCCTGTTCTGTTTTGTTGGGCCGGTTTTGTTTGCCTTGTTGTTGCCCAACCTTCTCATTCATTGCTTGGAGATGTCTGTATCTGTGTACTGTACTGTATGATTAAGATAAAAGGAATTTCCTGATGTACAGTACAGGACACGGGCCACCCTCCCCACTGTGGTTTTACAGAGTGGTGTAAGGAGTTATAGGGTACACCCAAGGGGTACCATGTCCAAATGTTTTGCCACTATCCAGTCACCTGAAGGTAGCAGCCAGGGTCTATAAATATGCAGCCGGTGTCCTGTACTGTACGTGGAATTTACAGGTAAGTTAAAATTCCTTTTTTTCTTTACTTTATAGGTCAGTATTTCCATTTTAAAAATAGAATCTTTGTATGGGGGAATGGGGGTTGGAGATTTAAATAACTTTGTAATGTGTTTATATGTTTGTAAGCTTGTTGGTGCAATACACGTTTTTAATGTCCTATGCTATGGCTCAACCAGTTTAATGCCCATATATAAATTAGTAGTAAAATAAAACTTGCTTCACATTGCCAGACCTAAATCTGAAATTCTGTGATCGCTTTTAGGAAGGATAAGCAAAAATATGCTAATAGCGCAAAAGACTGTGTCACGGAAAAGCACAAGCAAGAAGTAACTTCCATATAACACTGTGCAAATGGTAAGAATGTTTTTACTTTTAACTGACTCATCACTTTCATATACAAGCTGCTCAGTCTTGAATGGGTTGTGGGGAATCAGACTGATACAGTTGGAATCGAGTTATGATTGCCTATTAATGCAGCTTTTAATCTGTGGTTACATAAATCTGTTTTTCTGTCCACAGTGTCTTCGTAAATGCTGCACTTGATTGTGACACAGACGATGACCTAGGAAAAAATCTGAGAAGTCAAAGTACATACCAAAGGATGGAGAAACTTTTAGTGATGGTGTGAACTTGTTTGGAATTGTGGAAGAGCTAGAATATTTCTGGTTAATTTTGCAGTATTGAGAATGTTTTAGCCTATAGTTTGACTGCTTTGAATTAAAAAATGCCTGCACTTCCACAGACATGCTTCTGCACACATAATACACGTGGTGTGTGTGTGTGTTTTGTTTTTTAATTTTAAGAGGAAAAAAAAAAACTCAAATCATACAATAAATTAGATAATGTGGGAAGGTCTACTATTAATCATACTGCTTGCTTGGTGCATTCAATTGTTACAGGTTGGAATTTCTGTGCTTAGAATACAGAAGTGACATATAGGGGGAGATTTATTTAAAACTGGTACACTCAGAATCTGGTGCAGCTGTACATGGTAGCCAATCAGCTTCTAACTTCAGCTTGTTCAATTAAAGTGTTACTAAACCCAGGACCCTGCATTCACTATATCTGGTCTCCCACATTACACAGAATATGAACATGCAATTTTAGTAAATATAAACTGCTAAATACCTTTTCTCATCAGCAGTTAGAGCAGTCTTGTGACTTCTATCAGTGTTCAGCTGAGCACTGGTTAAAGCTTGTAGGAGGAGTTTTCATTCTTCTCTAGGAGGATGCAAAACCTCTGACTTCTGTCTGGACAGTGCTGATTGGCCCTGTGCTGGTCACATGCACTCTCGCAAGAAAAAAAAAAAACCTCTAGCAATACACACCAAACTGAGCTTGTGCAGAGTGTCTCCACACCATATATCTTATCCAGAAGTAGGAGGGGGACGCTGGAAGAAGGGGGGGATCAGAGAGTTAGGATCAAACAGCATTTTACACAATGCAAAGGAATAACCCCTTAGGTTCCACAGTGAGTATAACAAGCACGCTTTCCTGCATATACAGACTGATTTTATTGTTGTGGGTTTAGTAACACTTTAAGCTTTGGCAATAAAACCTGGAAGCTGACTGGTTTATTTGCAGAGATGTACCCAATTGATTATACATTCTCCAGTTTTATTAAATAACCCGCATAGAGTCATGTGCAGAAAACCTCTCCCACTCTTGTAGACACAATTTATAGCACTTATTATAAATGTATAAAATGTATAAAAATTCAAATAAACTGTCAGCATATTTCGGTACTATTTGAAGTTAATTCTCATGAGCACAGCATATTCTGTAATTAGAAAGATATTTTTAGCAAAACAGACTTAAGCTTGTCATTTCTACTAAAGCATGTCATATTATTTGGATACATTTTTTTCCTGTCAGGGGTTTTTAGTGGAGTTTAGTGATCTTTCTGAGTTAACTGAATATCGGTATACATTTCCTTTTGTGAGAGATCATCAGGGTTTTTTGAGTTATGAGTTTTATTGCCTACGAGGGCATCACTCATAGACAGTAACCTTAAACATGCAAACATTAATGTTAAATACACAAGTTAAAGAAAAACAAAACAGCAAAACATTTACACTAAGGAGAGAACTATGGCTGATGAGGGATACTAAGAGGGTAAATAGAAACACGTTTTATTTCATTTTTTTTTTTTGACTGATGTCATGCAGATCAAAATCACATGTGACACCTTTTTAGATGTCTGGGTGTAGACAGAAGTATCTGTTTCAGTAGCAGTGGCTATAGGCACACATTGTTACACTGTATTCTTCAGTGACACTCACAGATCTGCAAATACCGTTTTGCACAGCAAAGGCTTAATTTTGATTGCTTTTTCCTGCTATTTGACACATAGCAATTCCTGGCTGCCATTTTGAGAGATGATAATGGCAGCAGGAAACAGTGACGGAGAGGTGCTGAAGGACATACTTAAAGTGGAGCTCCACCCAAAAGGGGAAGTTCTGCTTCAAGACATCCTCCCCCCCCCCCTTCTGTCTTACATGGCATGTAATTTTGGAAGAGGGGGGGACAGGTACTTGGTTGATCCGAGCGAAAGTTCTCCTTACCCTCTCCCTCCCCGCAGTCTTCAGGGACACGTGACAGGTCCCAGAAGACTGCTGGACCATTCACACAGCACAACTTGCGCATGCACAGGGGGGGCACCCGACTATGAAGCTGAAAGCTGCACAACCAGCTGCCCACTGTTAGAATGCCGTGTCGGGAACCCGGAGGCTAGTGAAGAACTAGCTCGGGTGAGGACAGCTATGGATCCTGGGACAAGTAAGTGTCCATTTATTAAGTCAGCAGCTATAGTATTTGTAGCTGCTGACTTTTAATTTAATTTTTGTTTTACAGACTGAACCTCTGCTTCACGAGATACGTCCTATGAACTTTTTTGAAGTTAATTAGGACATACAGTGGGGCAAAAAAGAATTTAGTCAGCCACCAATTGTGCAAGTAAAAAGATGAGAGAGGCCTGTAATTGGCATCATAGGTAGACCTCAACTATGAGAGACAGAATGAGAAAAAAAATCCAGACAATCACATTGGCTGATTTGGAAAGAATTTATTTGCAAATTATGGTGGAAAATAAGTATTTGGTCAATATCAAAAGTTCATCCAATACTTTGTTATATATCCTTTGTTGGCAATGACAGAGGTCAAACGTTTCCTGTAAGTCTTCACAAGGTTGGCACACACTGTTGCTGGTTGTTGGCCCATTCCTCCATGCAGATCTCCTCTAGAGCAGTGATGTTTTGGGGCTGTCGCTGGGCAACAAGGACTTTCATCTCCCTCCAAAGGTTTTCTATGGGGTTGAGATCTGAAGACTGGCTAGGCCACTCCAGGACCTTGAAATGCTTCTTACAAAGCCACTCCTTCGTTGCCCGGGCGGTATGTTTGGGATCATTGTCATGTTGGAAGACCCAGCCACGTTTCATCTTCAATGCCCTTGCTGATGGAAGGAGGTTTGCACTCAAAATCTCACGATACATGGCCCCATTCATTCTGTCCTGTACATGGATCAGTCATCCTGGTCCCTTTGCAAAGAAACAGCCCCAAAGCATGATGTTGCCACCCCCATGCTTCACAGTAGGTATGGTGTTCTTTGGATGTAACTCAGCATTCTCTCTCCTCCAAACACGGCGAGTTGTGTTTCTACCAAACAGTTCTATTTGGGTTTCATCTGACCATATGACATTCTCCCAATCCTCTTCTGGATCATCCAAATGCTCTCTAGCAAACTTCAGATGGGCCCGGACATGTACTGGCTTAAGCAGGGGGACACGTCTGGCACTGCAGGATCTGAGTCCCTGGCGGCATAGTGTGTTACTGATGGTAGCCTTTGTTACGTTGGTCCCAGCTCTCTGCAGATCATTCACTAGGTCCCCCTGTGTGGTCCTGGGATTTTTGCTCACCGTTCTTGTGATCATTTTGACCCCATGGGGTGAGATCTTGCGTGGAGCCCCAGATCGAGGGAGATTATCAGTGGTCTTGAATGTCTTCCATTTTCTAATTATTGCTCCCACAGTTGATTTGTTCACACCAAGCTGCTTGCCTATTGCAGATTCAGTCTTCCCAGCCTGGTGCAGGTCTACAATTTTGTTTTCTGTGTCCTTCGACAGCTCTTTGGTCTTCACCATAGTGGAGTTTAGAGTGTGACTGTTTGAGGTTGTGGACAGGTGTCTTTTATACTGATAACAAGTTCAAACAGGTGCCATTGATACAGGTAATGAGTGCAGGACAGAGGAGCCTCTTAAAGAAGAAGGTACAGGTCTGTGAGAGACAGAAATCTTGCTTGTTTGTTGGTGACCAAATACTTATTTTCCACCATAATTTGCAAATAAATTCTTTCCAAATCAGCCAATGTGATTGTCTGGATTTTTTTTTCTCATTTTGTCTCTCATAGTTGAGGTCTACCTATGATGCCAATTACAGGCCTCTCTCATCTTTTTAAGTGGGAGAACTTGCACAATTGGTGGCTGACAAAATACTTTTTTGTCCCACTGTATCTCTTCCGTTTAAAATCCTCAGTTGGTTGAGAATTTTTTTGCTGTTTGTACTAGCCCCCTGTAATCACTTGAATGTTAACATTCAGACTGAGGGAGAAGAGGTGCAGCATTCGCAGCCAATCAGGCTTTACCCAGTGCTGGGAATCTTACTTGTGGAGAGAATGCAGAGATGCTTTCATCAGTAAGCTAATGTCCTCAACTATCCTCTCACAGTTTCGACCAGGCTTGACTGCAGTGGAGAACAGTGAATGTGAAGTATCTGTCATGGGTGTCTGGATTAGACCAGTCACTCATGCATTTTAGCTATATATTTAGTTTTATAACATAATTACACTGGTCTAGCGTGGACCAATGTAAATATGGATATTTCATACCTGTGGAATCCTTGTGGAAGATGAAAATCACTATAGTAGTCTCTGCTATTACAGTGATCTAATACAGCTGTCTTCTGAGTGCTGTGCTGGCTGCCCTGTTGCATAGTGAACACGGGGTCACTTGCTCGGCACGGGCACCATTCACAGAAAACATTGCATTTTTCTCAATAGATGCAAGGCATCAGAGAATTCCTTGCATCATTTGAGAAAAATACAAGGGTTATCTGTGAATGACACTTGCCGTGCAAACAACCTACTGTAGTTACTATTCAGCAAGACAGCTGCTCAACACCGAATCCAGGAGATAACATCAATTAATGTAGTAGCAGAGGCTACTACAGTGATTTCCAGCTTCCACACAAATCCCAGAGGTATGAGAATACATGCTTACATTGATTCAAAGATGAAAAATGTTACTGTGCTTTCTAATCCATACCTTGAATTCAGCTTTAACATTTTTAGAATGGGTTAAAATATAATGCTCAGGAATGTTGGGGCAACATTCCTCCCCTTTTGCTGTTATAAGAAAATCCATTGCTATTCTTCTTTTAAGTGCCAGCAGCCTGACTGCTCTCAGCTCTTCTGACAACTGTTCCATGGCAGCTGTTGTCTCATTATGGATGCCTCAGCATCCTTTACAAATCATTAACTCTCTTCATAGACATGTAGAATCTACTAACAGACAAGAGGATACTAAAGGCACCTTCTGCTTTCATTATCAGCTAAGCTCCTGAAGATTTTACCCCCTTCATGACCAGGACATTTTTTGTTATTCAGCACTGCACTACTTTAACTAATAATTCATGCAACGCGCTGTACCAAGATGAAATTTATATAATTTTTTTCACACAAATAGAGCTTTTT